AGTGCCCTCTCCTTGGCCGTCGGCAACTTTAACTCTATCTCTGCCAGAATCTGGTACTTTTTACGCACCTCCTCTAACTCCCCTGCTGTAAACGTCGATTTGTCAGCCTTGGTGTGCCAGTGATCCGGTCCTACTTGGCTAATTAGCCTTGCGGCCACGATCATTGTGGACGGACGCGATCACACTACTTGTCTCGCCCCTCTCTCCTCTCGCCTCTCCGTCCTATATTGTTTCACCAAATCCACCGCGTCGTTTTCACTCAACGCCTCTAACCTCATGGCATTGGCTTTGTCTCGAGCCATCTCTTTTACGTTTCTGTATATTGCTTCGGACGCCAGCGTGAGTGTCACGACCCATTCCCCGTACCCAAGGGTTAAGCATCGTAATAGCCAGTAACTGAAGCTACCTCCGGCCAATTCTTGAACAAATTAATAAACACGAGCAAAAGTAATATTTAAGTAAGGGTACCCAAAATAATCATCAGAGCTTCTATTTTTATTACAAAATTTATTAACCAAAAAGACCGATATTTACATATAAAAAAATATCATAAAAATGTTGTGTGTGTCTATTCCGCAGCCCCACATCTAAGACTTTCCAAAAACTATTTCTGAATTGCATTGTTTCTTGAAAATTGGTAAACAGCTATAAGCACATGGCAGAGTGAGAAATATTATACCAAGAGTATGAGGGATACAAAATAACTATGGATAGTTATGTAACTGAAATATTTAAGATCACTTAGTCTGAACAAATAATCATTTAAGTAGCAAAATTGAGATTATGTAAATAACTAACCATAACCACAGTACCGAACAGAACAGAACAGAGGTCACAGGAGTGACAATCAGAACAGAGGTACGAATTCAAGAGGTAGCTCGCACGGATTATAGAGGTGGCTTCCACAATAGTGCAGCACTTATCTCTGCACAGAATAGAGGTCAATGGATTCATAACAATAGAGATGTACGGATTCAAGAGGTGGCTCGTACAAATTATAGAGGTGGCTCCTACAATAGTGTAGCACTTATCTCCGCACAGAGCAGAGGTCAATAGATCTATGACAATGGAGGGCCACAAAGTGACTAAATAGAGACCAATGGTTATGGAAGTTCCCCAAGGCGTGGGACTCCCGTGGTGGTAATTACAAAACATAATTGTTTATAAGGTCAAATATTCTTTAAAATATAAACAAACATATCAATGGGTTTCATTTTCCCAAATAGGGTTCAGAAACTAAACCACGTAACTGAAATATTTATATAATTTATAATAGTTTATAAAATATAACTTGTATAAAATAAATATGGTAAGTCAAACATACGTAAAATATATTACGATAACTCAAGGTATAATATAACTCACCTTAACTTTAATACCTCACTCTTTCTTTCCACTATCAAAGACCCTCTCGGCTTCCATTATTTTTTTCTTCGTTTTCTTCTTTTCTTTCCTTCATTTCTCTCTTCTTTCTTTCCTTCTTAGCAATCCTGAGCAATCCTCCAATTTATGGAGAGGCCATCGTGGGCAGTAAGCCATAAACTACCCACGTGTCTAAGTCGCATTCGCTTGCCATTAATTCATTCTTATCCAAAATATTTAACTTTAGAATAATTCTATTGTGGCCCAAATTTTAAACTAATTATATATGTATATATATATTTTTCAATAATCTCATTTATAATTAAATAATACGAATATAAAATTTAAGGGACAACTTAAATTTTTGAGTTGTTACAGCGAGAAAGTTCGCAAACTGTTGGAGGGGTATGTCACACGAAACGAATGAGGTCAGGTCTGGGATGAGTTGGTTTCTTGCAATGAGGTATGTAAAACGGATAACTCCAAATGCTCACGGTTTGCCTATATTCCAAGGATTGAAATTAAAATTCACCAGTTTGAAAATTTCAAAAGTTTCTAACCCCACGTCCCATCCTAGTCCTAACCCTTCGCTTCCTGCTAACGCATCACCTCCCCACCACTTGATCATGCCACGTGTACAACCATGGTTCACCCCCTTCTTTTCCGTTCATCGTCTATTCCACTTCACATCATCACGTGTTTTCATCACTTTTCGAGCCTTACGCGTTGCCACCACTTCTGGCTCAGCCCCCTTCGTGGTCGGCTTTCCTCTCGATCGGTCCTCTCGTTCGACCCCCTTTGCGGTCGGCTCTCCTCTCGGTCGATCCTCTCCCTCGACCCCTTCCATGGTCGGCTCTCCTTTAGGTCAGTCCTCTCGTTTGGCCCCCTTCGCGGTCGGCTCTCCTCTCGATTGGTCCTCTCGGTCAACCCCCTTCGCAAACGGCTCTCCTCTCGGTTGGTTCTCTTGCTCGACTCCATTCGCGGTCGGCTCTCCTCTCGGTCGGTCTTCTCGTTCAGCCCCCTTCGCAGTTGGCTCTCCTCACAGTCGGCTCTCTCACTCGGCCCAGCACACCCCCCATCCTCTTTCTTATTCCCTTCGTTGGACTGAAGCTGCACTTGAGAATGGGGGATTACTGACATCGGTGGGCCCACAAAAGGTTTTGGCCCACCACTTAGAGCCCAATTCACAGCTCAAGCACTAAAGCCCAACACCCTTGAGAATCCAGAGTTGAACTAGGAATCAATGGCATCTAAACACGTGTCAAGTAGGGAATCAGCCACGTAAGCAGACAAAGATCCTGTAGAGTTATTACACCACACATCAACCACTAATGAAGTTCCTGCAGCATTAAATGCGATAACCCCTTCACGACGGAACAAGCAGCCTCACTATGAACAATGCAAGCTAGAGTATAGACTTTCGGCCAACACGACAGGTCGGAGTGAACAAGGGAATGATGGACAAGGGATAAAAGGAGGCTTTCCAAACACAAAAAAAATGTTAGGTTCTTTATTCTTATTCTCTCTCTTTACACAACATCAATCTCTCTTTTCTAACTTGATCGTCAGAGAGTCCGCTAGGGAACTCTCGTTCCCCGTTAGATATTTTTGCAGGCACACCAGTGAGCTTAGTGACTAGTGAATGGTGTAGGAAGCGTGAGTCAGCCCGACTCGCCCTCCAGGGATCAACAGTATCATCAAGTAGATAAATAAATAATAATAATAAAAAATCATATTTCATAAAATGTAATAAATTATAGTAAAATGTAGAAAATTCACATTTATTTTGTATATTTTTTTCTTAAATTCTATTTTATAAATTTTATATTTATTTTAGAGGTTTTGAAAATTTATTATAACTTAATTTTTTAAGTTTACCTGTTACCTGAATGGCAGGTTAAGTGTATTTTATTAATAATTGAATGATAAGTATAGTTATTAAAAATAGTAAGTATAATCATATCAAATAGTAAGTGTACTTAGTTATTGTGGTAAGTTGAAAACCACTTTTTGGTTTCAAAATAATTGAAAACTACATTATTTTTTACAAAACTACTTTAGATTTCTTAACCTGATTTTAATTATTACCAATTAATGGTTAAATTTATTTATTTTTTAGATCTAATGATCCAAATTTATTTATGTATGTTGTTTTGGACTGAAATATACAAGGAAAAAGGTTGTATCTCTGTCTGTTTCATCACTTCAGCAATTCTTTATGTGATGTAAGAATTCTCCTCAAAAGTAACAAGGAAGCAAATTTTTCTTCTCTGTTTGTGGTTATAATTTTTAATTAAACTCTAGTTGTGCGCGCTTTTAGTTCTGTCTGTTTTGTAAGTTTGTTTAATTTAATAGTGCCTTGAGATGGAGAGAATGATAGCCAAGAAGTGATAATCAATTTAGTCCAATTAGCAAATTTACAGCTTATTACTGGCTTGGTTTTTCTTAGTTCATTATGTGGATTAGTACACTTTGGGCATGTTTGATTGGAAGGATTAAAGCATGGGATTAGGATTATTAATCCGTGGGTCCAATCATCCTATGTTTGTTTTGACATTTTGATTTAGGACTATTAATTCAATGGATAATTAATCCAACAAATTTGTAGGATTATTAGTAATGGGGTAGGGGTGGGATAGTTAATACCACACTAATTTAATAGGATTATTAATACATCACTATTAATATTGTGAATCAAACATGACCTTTAGACCTACGGACTCGGCACAAACTTCACTTTCATGATTTAATTCTTTTAAATTTAAAATGAAATGATCAAATTATTCAAACTATAAGATAAAAATTATAATTAATTCAGTTTTTAACCCGCATTTCTCCTTTCGAACAAAAAAAAAAAAAAAAAAAACTATTTTCTATCAATAATATTACACACATCAATTATATACTAACTATTATAACAATATAATTATAATATTATTATTTTAAAATTATAACTTCATTCATTATATAATTATAAATTATAAAAACTTAGGTTGTGTTTGGAACGATTTCCAAACTAAAATTCTGCCCACACATTCTAATATGATGTTTGGATAGGATGTTCAAACTATATTTTTACAACATTTAGAAAATTCTACAGAAAACTCTATGGGCGCGATTTTCAATTTTTTTTTTTTTTGAAATTTGGCCTAATTGGTCGTCCCACTGGATGTCCTACCAGACGTCCTACTAGTCGTCCGGCCGGTTGACCGAAACAGTATATTTTTGTTTTTTTTTTTTTTTGCAATTGACACATATTAATTTTTATATATTTAAAAAAAATATTTTCTAATTTTTTTTTGAGCTTTAATAGAATTTTGAGTTATATGTTTGATTATGAATGGTAAGTTTTTGTATCAAATATCACAAGTCACATTAAAAAAATTTCACTCAATTCAAAACTCTTTTACCAAATAAATTTTTTATACACAAATCATAATTCCAAAACTCACAAATTCAAAATACAACTCCTATTCTCAAATCATATTTAAAAAACTCTAACAAGGCTACCTTAAAACATTTATCTTTTTTCTATCACATCACTTCTCTATTTTTCTATACAACTTCTCATAAAAAAAATTAAAAGTAAACTTTTTTAATCGTCCCAAACAACCTCTTAAAATTATATCTCCGCATGTCTTATTTCCTGCTGTGGGCGTTGCGTTACTTTGCTTCTCTTTCCAAACGAAACGGAGTGCGGCTTTGAAGGAGAAGGAAAAAAAAAAAAAAAAAAATGCAGAGATGGTCTGATTCTGAGAGAACGAGCTGTGACAAATCGAAGACGCCCGAGTTCAAACTTGGTCAGCGCGTCCACTCGGGCGGAGATTGCCGGCGAATCGGGACAGTGAAGTACGTAGGAGCAGTGGAAGGCTACTCTGGGTGTTGGGTCGGCGTCGATTGGGACAATGGCGATGGAAAGCACGATGGCTCCATCAATGGGGTTCGCTATTTTCTCTCCAAATCCCAGAAATCAGCTTCCTTTGTTCGCCCCCACAATTTGAGCACTGGGATCACTTTTTTGCAAGCTCTTGAAATTAGATACAGGACCATTTCCACTAAAGAAGAGGAAGGTATCTAATTAATTCAAATTCTTGTACATTTATATCTTCTTATATCTGTATCTTTTCACTTTGTTTCTTTTAAATGTGATGTGAGGATGGGAATACGTCATCTTGATTTACCCTCAATTCTAGTTACTAAGCCACAAGACCTAGTGAATCCATGCAAGTGTGTAGGCCTTACTCTTGACCTGTTATAGGCATTAGGGTACCTTTGGAGGACTAGAGGTGTAAGCAAGCCATAGGAGATGTGTGATTGGATGGAGACCTGTTTACCAAGCCAAGGGAGGGCTACTCTAACGCTGTGTTTGGTTGGGGGATTTGGGAAGGGAAATGGAAAGGGAAATGGAAATGAAAGGAAAAGGAGAAAGAATTAATAGAATTCAAAATCCCAACTATGTTTGGTTGTGTTGGTTATAAAATAGAATTGATGTCCTAAAAAGTCTCCTATTTCTTTATTTATTTCTCACCCCCTTTCTTTTCCCATATATTTTTTATTATAACCAAACATAAATAGGATTACATTTCTCATTCCTTTTCCAAATCCCACCCCAAAAACCCCAACCAAACACAGCATAAATGCAACAACAAAGGAGTTGCCGATGGCATTACAATTATTTCATGATAGATAGGAATGGTGTATGGATCTCTTCTCATATTGTTCTTTGTCCTTGCATCAAGGTTTTGTTAGTGCTTTGCTAGGACTAGCATAAGTTAACAATTTCATGATATGTATGTGTGAACTTAAAGGTAGAAAACCATGCCTCTATCAAAGGAAGCGCATCATTAAGCTAAGAAGTAGCCTTGAAGAATTCACGAGGGGAGTGCTAAGGAAGCTTCGTAGGCATGGGACCAAGTGAAAACCAAAGAGGATCAAGGCTGAACTAAAAGTTCAAGTCATATTAATTTGTTTGACCAAATCAGGAGTTTGGTCATTTAAGTGCTGAGCCGTAGTATCACCCCTGGGTGGGTTTGGTTGACCAAATCTCTATAGATGGTCGACCAAAGGAGTTCCAGAGAGTTGCCGAGTTAGGTGTAAAAACATGTAAGTTCAATCAAAACACACCTAACACACTAAACACACTTGGATAATCAATTACTTAGTTTGTGGATTGAGGACTTGCAAAAGCAAAGAAGGCCAAAATTTAAGAATTGTTCTATTTACCCCATCCTCTAGGACACTTTCAGGTTCCACTGGCCATAGCAGCGTGATCGATTTCCATCCTACCTTGATAGTTATAGTGATCTATTTTCATTGAATGTTGATATTTCTAGTGATCTATTTTCTTCTCATCTGTGCTGCTGTAGTCTTCCTCCACTTAAAATTTATTATATTTTATTTGTTGGACATGAATAGCGCAATGTTGATAACATCTTGCAATACTGATTTGAATACTCTATTATTATGTTGCAGATGAAATGTATGTCTTTTCTGCAAGCAACAGACGAGTGTCAGTTCAGCTCCTGGGTAAAGATAAAATTCAAGATAAGCTAAGTCGATTTGAAGAGTTGGCAGGTGGATCACTATCTTACTTGGGTGTTAGCTCTTCTGGCCCCCCAGGACAAATTGGTGCAACTGTGCCGAGTACGTTGCCTATTGAACTCTGCTAATCTTATTTTAATTGTTGTACTACTCTTTTAGTATCTATTCCATAAACTATTTGAATTTTGATAGGCATCTGTTTGTTTTGTTGAATTTACAAAGTTTAACTGTTTCTTTGGAAAAAAAATTCATGGTAGAGGATTATACAGTGCCCCCACACCACCCAACCTGAAACTGAAAAGAGAAATTAAATCAAAATGAGATTTTTAATTAAATTTTTTTTTCCTGAAGTAAAAGTAAATTTAGGCTTGATTGTCTTATTTGCAGGACATGTTAGGGATCTTCATGGACATGTGTGTCGTGTGTTTGAACATGTCTCAAGACACCTTTGTGGTTTTTATTTTAATTTATTTTTTAATAATAATTTTGGAAAACTAATTTGGAGTTAAGTAAAATATATAGAACAAAGAGGGGAGGAAGGGAAAAAAAAAACAAAAATACATTGATGTCTCTTATATAACTGTGCCCCAAATTTATATTTATATTCATATACATAACAAGTAAAATTATATAAAAAATTATATAGATATATATTTTTTATGTGTCCCTTGCCTTGTTTGTATCATAATTTTTCAAACCACCGTGTCTCGTGTCTGTGTTTGTATCTGTGCTTCTTAGGTTTTAGGGTTCTGTTTGTTCTCAAAAATAGAAAAATGGAAAACTTTTGTTTAGAAAACTATTTCAGGAAAAGAGTTCTGAAAAACACTCATTTTTAGTATATATTATGAATTTTTAAAAAATATTTGTGCACAAAAAATGAAAAGCATGGTTTTGTTTTGTTTTTATTTTTTATATTTTAAACTTTTCATTGTTTTTGTTTACGAAAACATGAAAACAAAATTAATTTTGAAAAGGGTACCAATCAGAAAATTTCATTTCTTTATGTGAGTTGGGTGCTTCTGGTCTTGTTCATGGTTGTTAAAATCGCGATCCGGATCGTAGGATTGTACGATCCTACGATCCTGCTTTGCCAAAACGATCTAGATCGTTGTAGGATCAATGTTACAACAGGATCGCAAGTAGGATCGTGTAGGACCGCATGGGATCGTGTAGGATCGCATGAGATCGTGTAGGATCGTATAGGATCGCAAGTAGGGTCGTAGATTTTATGATTTTTCACCTTATTTTTAATATGTAGTATTTTAATTTTAATTTTTATCTTTTTTTTTAATAGAAAGTAGGATCTTACGATTCTCGATCCGATCCTACAATTCGATCCACCAGACCCTCTCACCGATCCTATACTTAGGATCCCGATTTTAACAACCTTGGTCTTGTTAATCAATTACACTGGTATTTGACCGATAATTATATGGTGGTTTATTGTTTAAATATCCTTGCAACACTGAATCTCATGGTGGATGCACACATAATAGCATAACTGTGTGCTTGTTCTACAACAAGTTTATCTATTCCATTTTATACCTTATGCATTTATTCTTTTTGATTCATTATATACAAGAATGACGAAGGATCACAGTACTGTACTCATCTTTCAGCTACCTTTCTCCTTGTCCTTGCATCTTCCTTCTTGTCTAATGGAATTTAGACCCAATCATCTTAAATGACTGCATAATGCAGGAGATGGTCTTGTTTTCTCTTGCTAGATGATTCTTTCATGCTATTTCATTGCTATTAAATTTTTTTAATACTTCCGTTGCAGATTTGAAGGAGCTCGACTTGACTGGAAATCTGCTTTTGGAATGGAGAGTATGTTTCATTGCTGCAACAACATCAATCCATGTTGTCATACTAGCTTAGGTTGCATGTTTTTTAATGCGCTCTATTAATAGCTGTTGAGTTAATTTTGTTTCCATTTTTTTGTTTTCAAACACTTTTGTATGTTTCCATTTTTTTTTACCATTTTCCGAAATGTTTCCGTAATTTCCATTTCTGTGCTAACCAAAACAACACATCAAAACCAAATTTTGTTCCTAGAGTTCCACTGGTAATAGTTTTCTGTGAGATGGATGCATGCATGTCCTTCATATTCTGAAATTGTTTTTGCCTGGTAATAGTTTCTGAAGCTTAATACTGACTTTCTCTTGTTTGGGTTTGTCTTTATTGCAGGATGTTGGTGCGATATGCAAAGAGTTACCATCTCTTGGAGCTCTCAATCTATCCAACAATTTAATGGCCCATGATGTAGTGGGGCTTCGTCAACTAACGAACATCCACATTTTAGTTCTAAACCATACTGGTGTAAATTGGGAGCAGGTGAGCCATCCTATTTTTCTTTTTAGTTACTTTCTTTAATTAACTTCAATTTGAAATTCTAAATATAATCTATTTGATCTAACAGGTTGAAATCCTTGAACAATCATTACCGGTCATTGAAGAGCTACATCTGATGGGAAATAAAATAAGGGAAATAACGGTAAAGAAAAATTCCCTTCTATATGATTGTTAAGGGAGCTTCTATTTGCACACCATGCTTTTTCTTAGTTCACACCATTTTTATGGTTTGGATACTGACTATTGAAAAAAAAGTCATGGTTCGTTCGAATATCAAGTACCGAACCAAAGGTACAGCTGAACCATGGGTTTCGTTCTGTAATTATCATATTGTTGTCATTATCATATTGAAGCATTCAAACATTCTTTTCAATTTGATGATGATGAATCCATGCATACAACAACAGAGCTGTACACCTATTCTGATTGTATATGCATGTGAACTCCAGTTGAATCAGTTTTTGTTTCATGTGCACCTGCTAGTTGTTTGTAATTGGTACTTTGTATTCTTGAACAACTGCACTGTATTGTTTTTGTTTATTTATTATGTATATTTATGTTTCTCTTTCCAGCCTACATCCTCCAACACTGTTCAGGGATTCAATTCTCTGCGGCTTCTGAATTTGGAAGACAATTGTATTGCTGATTGGAAGGAAATCTTGAAGCTTTCTCAATTAAGAAGGTATGCAAAGAAGTGTTAGTTGTTCTTGCAGTAAATTTTCCTTAAAAGTTTTCGGAGTGTTACAAAATGATTTCTGCATTCAGTTTGTTGCAGCTTCATTTGAACAAGAACAGTTTAAACCGGATATGGTACCCTGATTATGATACAATACTTGACCACCTCAACGGTTGTGAATCAGTTGAGAACAGTTATAGGCCTTTCCAAAATTTACACTGCCTGCTTCTCGGTAGATATCAAGTCTCCTTATACAAGTACCACAATTCTTGATTTTGGCAGTCCTATTAAGTGTTTATAATTTGTTCTTTTCTCGTCACATTGTCCAGGAGGTAATAACATTGAGGATCTGGCTTCTATTGATTCACTAAATTATTTTCCTAACTTGATGGTAAGGTTTTGTAATGTGAGCTGTTTGGCGTGTTCTTAAACTTCTGATCAATTATTGTATTTGACAGAAATCTGTTTTGCAGTGGTGTAATGTTGAATCATATGAATTCAAATTTAATAATGAACATTGTGTCCAAATTGCTGCCTGCTATATCAACTTGAATTATTCTTTTTAATCCAAGTATTTTGAGTTGTTATGTGTTGCTACAGGATTATGTTATATATTAATTACAAAATCATGTTTCCAATTCAGATTAAAGTCTCTGACTAACTTTGTAATATTTTCAAATCACCTTTTTCTTCTAGCAATCTATATGTTTTTTGATGACCCTTGGTTTTGTCTGCTGTAACAAATATTGGCCATGTCAGGTCCATCTGCAGGTTGATTACCCATTTAGTGGACTTCATCTATTATATGATTTTTTTTCCTTCTTAAAGAAAGAAATCTATGATTTAAGAGGAAAATGTCTGAGTTTTACAACAATACTTGTTGTGGGGGTATGAGGTGCTCTAGAGTTAAGTTGATTGGAAACTTAAAAAATACTGATTTCTTTTGGGGGAATACTTACATCTGGTTAACAATATTTCTTCTTCTTTTATTTATTTGTTTTATATTATATATACGAGCAACTGAGAATCCTGTTATAGGTCCAGTTAAAATTGATTAGATAAAGTCATAAAGGCACCAAGTAACAGTTATTGCCTGTAAGAAAGATTACTGTAAAATGTGTGATTCTCATTTAGCTCAAATATTAACAATAGCCACTAATGATGATATTCCTTTTCCTCCAACCATTGAATCGCTTGTGAACTCCAAAGTAATAGTGAAGAAACTATTGTCTGTTGCTGAAAGAGGCTCTGACTGAGCTTACTCCCTCTAGCTTTAAGTATATCATCTTCAGAAGGGTTTCTTGTCAGCTGGCTATGGGTCTATGAGGTACAGACCTAGGCAGATGGTTTTCCACTCTTGTCTGTTTGAAGCTATACCCCAATGCCATGTCTGACACACCATTATCCTCATCAGATCATCAATATCAATTTTGTTAAGAAGCTTTAAAGAAGATATATATGTGAGTGACAGCAAATAAAGCTGCAGTTAATTAAATTACCCATTGAAATGCCAAATGTCAAATTATCCATTACTTAATCATTAGCAGAAAGAAGATGCCCAGCGTGCTGTCAATGATCTCCAATTGAGAAAAACTACAGTAAATGGAACTGATACCGAGTCAGGACATCCTAAAATTTCTTTATCTTGGATTGTCTGTTAACTTTTATAATCAGGTTGCTATTAATTGACTCAGTCTGAGCATCCATGGTTTGAACCAGTATTCCAATCTCTGACCTTTGGTGATTTCAATTTTCAGTTACTAGTGATACAGGTAGGTGATGTTATCCTAGAAACATTTGATGTTTTTCTAGTATATCCATAAGATGTCTTACTCTATAATTCCCTCTTTAAACCTGTCACATCTTACTCTTATCCATGCTTGTGATAATTTTTTTGTGTGACCTTCATACATGTCAAGGTTGATAATTGTGGTGGTTTAGCGATATAACCAACTAGAATAAGAATTTTGATGGCCAAAAGCAATTATTGGGAGTCCTCTTGGCCTTTCAGCAATACTGGTTGCTAACAAGAGATGAAGTAATATCCTAACAAGAAAATCTTTTTCTATTAAACCGATCTTTAAGTTGCTGGCTTTAGGATAACTGAGTACCTAGGAACAAGTAAATGCTAACCACCCGATTCCTTCCCCAAAAGGTTTAGCCGACGGTATCAGTTGTGTTCATCGTATCCTCTTCTATTCCCTAGACTTTCCTTCCAATTTTGGACTCCATGCATGCTTGCTCGGGTAATATACTGAATCTGTTGAGAGACTTACTTGTCTGTTACCTCTCTCAACCATAAATTAAAAACTTTGAACAACCCTTTTTATTTCCTTAAGCAAATTTTAAATCTTGGTACTGGCCTCTGTACTTGGGCATTGACTCTTGTTCTTTTGTTACAAGCGCAGGATATAAGGCTTTCTGATAATCCAATAGCTGATCCAGGCAAAGGCGGTATTCCAAGATTTGTTTTGATTGCTTGTTTAGCAAAAGTTGAAATGTTGAATGGGAGTGAGGTAAATCTTATGAGTTGTATTTGCCCTGTTTTTGTTGATTTCTAAGGTTGTAAACTTGATGCACCCTCCTTGCCTTTAAAAATGTCAGGTTAGTCCTCGAGAGCGCAAGGACTCTGAGATTCGGTATGTTTTTTTTCTCCCGCTTTCCAGCAAATATATAGTTTTATATACATAATAAATATTTCATTAAAACAACAACAACGTAACAATAATTCATAGTAAAGTTTAAAGGATGAAATATGTATAAATTTACCTTGTCCACTTTTATCATTGGATCTCAAGTTACTTTGTTCAAATTTGTAATGTCTTTCGCGTCATTTGGGATGATCTAATTATGTTTACTTTTTGACTTTTTACTAAAAGATGTGTAGAAAAGTAGAGAGATGATGTGACTCAAATAAATGTACTTATCTAAATAAGTGCATTTATTTAGTTTATGCCAAATAATGGAAACTGGTGTTACCCAATTGCCGAAGATTGTCTAGGTCTAAAAAATTTAAATAATAATAATACATGTTTGGACGTGTGTCCAACATGTGGGAAGTGTCTGATGATTGTCGGTGTCCAACACTGACACACTATTAATCCTACTCTGTTGAGCCGTACTAATAGCCTTTCTAATACCCGTTTGTACCCCAGTTAAGATGGTATGAAACCCATCCAAGATTTGTTGTTCTAGGCGAGTTAGCGATTTGGCTCACCTGTTGGAGCTTTCAGTTAGAAAGATGGGCAGGAGAATTCCTGTAGAGCATCACATGAGAGGGAAGTTCTTCCAGGTACATTGACAAAGATTAGCATCTTGAAATTTATCAAAAAAAAAAATCAGCATCTTGAAGTGGAAGCTTGGAGAAGGAAATAAAGAAGAAAGAAAATGGACGAATGGGTCATTACCACTCATGTAACACCCTTATGACTGAAGCCTGAGCCAATAAATACTTGAGATTGTGGACAGCTCCTCTTCTTAGTGTTTTTTCCCACACCATATGCTTGCTCGATCTGAAGTGATGAATAGTCAGTAGCAACTTGTGAAAAAGATTTTAGGTTTCAGGTTTCAGGTTTCTGGACAATGGTATCAGGTGTTGTTTCAGAAAGTGACCATAGAAGTGAAAGGGATGCAGTGTCGAAGCATGATTGGGAGTTGGTCAGAAATTTGAAAGAGTTTTATTTTTTTTGTTTTTACCAGGAACTCAGGTTATGCATGGTTTCCCATATTTTGTGATCTTCAAGTCAAGAAAGGCTTTGGATTTTCTTGCATAGGCCTACTGCTGAACTACATAAATTCCTTGAATGTTCTAGGGTTACTGTTATCCAGAAACTAGTTTTGTTGGAGTGCCTTGTTCATTTGTTTGTTTGTCATTTTTTCTTAATTTGAGAGAGCAATGGTAAAGGGGTGTTTGGGGAGTGGCTAAAAAAGCCACTACAAAAAGTCAACCATTCTCTCTACTTTTTTACATGTCTTTTCGTAAAAAGTTACTAAAAAAGCCAATTCCCAAACATCCCCAAGAACTGAGAAAAGTCAATATCTGACTGTCAAACATGAAGCTTACCCACAACAAGAAGAAAAAGCTTTACGTATATGATATATGGTGTTTAATTGAAATCTCTCTTGCAGGTATGTTCGTTTAGTCATGTCAAAGTTGCATGACAGTCCTGAAGAGATCAGGCGGCTTCACCCCAGGTAATTTTGCCACCAGTTAAGTATTTATTCTGTTCTATTAGCTAAAATACCTAACCAAATTTACAGGTTATTTAAAAGGGCTGTGAAAATTATTTTATATATATATATACTTTTTGTAGTTCATTATAATTAAACTTTGGCTTTGGCGGCTTGCTTTTGAGCTTATTGGTATTGATGATCAAGACTAAAAAGCTCAAATTTTCTTAAACATCCACCACCAAAGACAAAAAAACCAATGCAGGTCTCAACTCTCAAGTTCTGTACCAAATTGGGTTTTAAGGGAAGAAGATGAAGTTAGGTTGAGGTTTTCAGTGGTTAGGACGAAGATGAAGTTAATGATATGCTCGTTCATTTACCTTAAAATTTGATTTTGACTCTTTTTTTTTTTTCTTCTTTTTCTCAATGTTAAGTCTTGAAATAGGCGCATCTAACCCACTTTCTGGCAATTTGGATGGAATTTTTTGCGGCTGGGAGGTGAAGTTCAAAATTGCCAAAACCATATGGGTCTTTAGCTATTATTAAACGATAGTGGGGTAAAGTGTTCTGAGGCCAAACCACAAAGGGTAAAGTGGATTTTGCCGTCTACAAAGCATCGTTTAAATATTAATTAAGGGTTCACTTTCACGGGATTTTGACCTCACCTATTGACGAGTCTTCTTTATAAGTAGCTCGCCAACTACAATTGGCCAATTGTGACCATCTGGTTTTAAATCCTGGTAGACATTTTGGATGGAAAAGGTTAGTCTATTTGGTAATTAATTTTTAAACAAGTTTAAGATTCAACCGTAAAAATCTTGAATGATGGACCCCGCTTGAACAGCTTAATGCATTGTAAATTTGTCATTGTTCAGACTGATTAGGGGTGAGCATGGTCCGGATTGGACCGGATTGGGGTAAAACCAGGACCAATCCGTTATCTACGGTTCCTGAAAAATTGGAACCAATCCAATCCGTTTAAATCATGGAACCAATCCGAACCAATCCATTTAAATACGGATTTGATCAGTTTAGGACCATGGATTCACATAATTAAATAACAAATATATATATATATATAACACTTTAATTTCATAAAAATATAAACATAGCGATATATTAGTTCCATAATAGCAACATGTTTTTCTATAATAGTGACATATTATTCTTGAATTTAAACAACCATAAGAAAATACAAACAAAAGTAATAAAATAAGATATTATACGGTTTTAGGTTTGAGTTTAGATTTTATATAGAATAAGAGAAGATACTATTGGGGAGGATGTATAATAAAAATACAGACTATTTGTATACGGTCCGGATCGGTTCCAATCCGGAACCGTGGGGTTCAATCCGGAACCAATCCGTGGACTACGGATTTTTAATTCTTCAATCCGGAACCGGACCGCAGATTTAAAAAACCAATCCAAACCTATCGGATTGGACTGGACTGGACTGGACTGGATCAGATTACGGATTTCATGGATTTCTTGCTCAACCCTAAGACTGATTGTTGATGCTCTATCCTTGCTTGGGCTTACATTTAAAATTGTAGGTTTTTAGAGCTTAAAGATTTTCATGGAATCGAGGATGAAAGGCCATCTACTGGAGCAGCTGGCCCTCAGAAGATGGCTTCAGGGCTTATTTGTATGAACCTAAATTTTTTAGATTAGTTTTCATAATAGACATTTTCTTTGCAGCTATAATATACACATTTTCTATTATATAATATACACATTTTCTTTAAGCTATCACTCTGAAATGTCTATTATGAATTTTCTTGGTATCAATTTCCTATAATATACACATTTTCTTTGCAGCTATCACTCTGAAATGTGTTGGAGCATCAATTGGAGAAAAACCGGCATTGACAAAAAAGTTGCCAGCAACCGCGACGGTAATTTGTCTTTTTACCTGTTTTCTAGAATGTCTCTGGGTGTTATTATTAGTTATAAAAGTTACATTGCATTTAAATGTAAATATTATTTTTAGGTTGGCAAGCTAAAGATTCTATGTGAGAGCTTTTTCAAGCTAAAATCCATAAAGCCAATATTGTTTCTTCAAGAAGAGGTCTGTATTTTATGCCTCTCCCTCTTGGTTCCTTTTAGTGATTATTATAAACGCTAACTTTGATAAGGAGTATTATGACACTACATGGTGATTCCTCTGGTGTGGGTTTGTGAGTGTTTTGACAAGTTAGATGTATGCAATCTTATTTTGCACTTGGAAAGGTTGTTTCCATGTTTTGAACCCACAAATAAAATGTGTACACTTGATGATTGTCCTGTTAAATAGTTTTCTTTGCAATTGCAGGGTTCGCCATTGCCAACATTGCTCGATGATGATATGGCATCCTTGATTGACCTTGGAGTTGGCAATGATTCAACCATTCTGGTAGATGAAGAGAGTTGATGATGTATGTAAATCCCACATACTGTTGAGGAATTCCCTATTGCAATTTTCTAAATATATCCAAAATAGTTGTACGCTTACTGGTGTGTGAAGTTTTGTTGTCCCTTGTTTAAATTTTGTTGGATTCGACAGCCAAAAAAAAAGAAGAGAAACTCAATTTTGGTGTTTGATGGCCTATGCAAATTGTTAAATTGTTTTTTTTGTTTTTGTTTTTGTTTTTTTGGATTCAACAAATTACCTTCATTGAACAGACTAATTGACCATGAGAATAGCTTGTAGCTCACCTACCAGGAAAACACACTTCTTTCATAGTTGAAAAATCAAAGTACCATTAAGAGATTAGAAGTTGAGAAAAGAAATTACTTATTTAATCAAACTAAATGGGCTTTTACATTCAATTTTTTAGTTGAAAAAAATAGCTCATTTAGATCATTGTTCCCCATTTTGTCAAATATCCTCGTTAACAATGAGATTTTACAAAACCAAAAATTCATTTAAAATACCATGATCTCACAACACAATTCATCTTCTCTACTCGGGAATAACCATCTCTGCCTCGTTCCATTCCAAATTCATTTTGATGTCCATTTCATTCATGTCCAAAATCATATACCAATGAACTAATCGCTTCCTCACTTCCCAGGAAAAAACATATGTTGTGATAACCCTATATTCTTAGGTCATGCCCGATTCCAGGTTCATCAAATTCATAAAAAGTTCTGCTCATTATGCATAGAATATCGTCCAAACAGCACAATAACCCGCATAGCCATAGTTCTAAAGGTATTAAAATAAAATAAAATAAAATAAAAAGGGTTCTGTAAGGATGCAAGCTAGCATATGATAGGAAAACAAACATCTACATCTGATATTACTTTCCTAAAGACAAATATCAAAATTTTCAGCGATGTGCACCGTACATCTGATTCGAATCATACTGAGGGTGGCCAGGCTGGGGTGCACCACCCCCTGGTAAATTTCCATAACCACCCGAATGTGGGATGGATTGATCATATCCGGGCTGTGTTGGTGCTGGTTGGGCATAACCAGCCTGCCCAGCTGGTGGTGCACCGTAAGCCGAACCAGGAGGAGCACTACCATAAGAAGGATCAGCACCACCTTGGTAACCATAGCCTACATTGTTTTGAGCCGGTTGTTCAGTGTAACCTGGTTGTGAAGATGGGTATGATCCCGGAACCACTTGAGCAGAACCAGGACCCCCCTGCTGACCATAACCTGAAACAGGCTGGCCACCTTGCTGGGGATACACGGGGGCGGATCCTGTGGCTGGCAGAGGCTGATTATACCCATCAGTAGCAGATGCAGAACCATATGGATGATAAATTTGCTGCTGCTGCATCGGCATGCTCGACGCGTACGGGTATGTTTGTTGAGGCACTGCATTTTGACCATATGGCTGGGTTGAACCTTGATAAGGTATATCACCAGGTTGACTAGCCCTAGGCTGGCCATAGGATTGGGAAGGAGGTCCATGCTGTGGTGGCACACCATAGGATGCTGGCTTACCATACTGGTCCTGTGGAGGAGCATAGCCTGGATGAGTACTACCTTGAGGGTAGGGCCCTGACTGCGAACCTCCATAGGGATGCTGACTCGGAGCCTGGTTTTCATATTTTGCTTCATTGTATCCATGCCCGTAGCTCTGTGGAGGCACAGTTTGGGAATAAGGAGCTGGCTGCCCATAATTGTAATTTCCCTGTGAATGGGGAGGGCCCATAGGTGCAGCATAGGGGCTGGGACCATGAGCAGGAACGGGATTAGATATCGGGACAGATGTCGGAGTATCAACCATATGATGACCTTGCCCACCGTAGTAGTCATAACTACCACTCTGGGAAGTGGGACCCTGCTGCATTGTTGATGAAGGCCTTTGCTCCCATCCTGAACCGAAGTTGCTTCTTGGAGCCCCTTGTTGTGGAGGATAATTACCATATGCTTGAGGTGGGTACTGCGAGTTCTGAGATGGATACGGCCCTCGTTGCTGATAATCAAACCCTGTTGTTGGCTGAGAATGAGGACCTCGGCGTCCCCATTGTGCTGAAGCAGCGGGTCCACGTGGACGGAACGCCTGTTGTTTATAACCGCCAGAGAGAGGAGAATTCCTTATAGGCTAATTAGAGCAATGGAAGAAAAAACAAAAACAAAAACAAAAAAAAAAACAGAAATCAGCAACTTTTTACTCGCACTGATTTTCAAATATGACAATGCTGATCCATAAAAAAATAGGATGGAAAATGAACAAAGAAATTGCAGCTTGTGATCCCTCTCTGGATTATATGTTGGAGGGGCTTGTGGTTTGTCACAAACATGGCAATGAAAGTAGCACACATAGATGAAAACAATGAGAAAAATGTTTATATCAAGATAAACAACATATATTAACAAATCAAACTAGTTGAATAAGGTAGACTCTGAAACCCTACGAAACAAGCACTTGTCTCAGATACGTGCACAGAGAACCTCAGTCAATCCAGTCATGCCAAAACAAAAATAAAAGAGATTAAATTTACACAACAAAGAAACAAAAGAAAATCTTCCTGCAGAGCAATAGGTTTGCGATATTGAGGACATGTTTTTTTTTTTGTTTGTTGATAAATTTGGTATTGAGGACATGTTAGAGTCCACATATTAAGTCTACGTAACCAAATTCTTATATGCACCAAAAGAAAAGAAATAACAAAAGAATAAAATAAACCACCAAAATACACAGCAAGCACAGTTCTTGTTTTTTTTCAAAAACTGCAATATAGTATATAAATAGTCTTCAAAACGGAGCAGATTTTGGTACATGCACAAACAAGATTGAAGCTGAATCACAACCCTGAACCCACCATACAACTTTTTACCTCTTCTAATTTCTGATCAGCAGCCACCGCAATTGTTACTCCTCACCAGGCATGTTCTGACACTGGTGTTATATTACCATACTTCAACAGTTTCAAACTGGTATAAAATTTTAACTCAATTTTGCACCTAAGTTTCAGTACATGTGCATTGAGAAGTTAATTAATGTCACCAAAAAATAGTCCAATCATGGCCAATACATGAAGTGTTAAATTGACGATGTCATCAACAATAATCATCAAATAATGATGTGTTGTTTGTAATAGATGAACTATGTACAACAATTCTAGAACTCTCATACTCATACGAAGCTCATCCAGAAGGAAATTATTGGTAGTGAGCTATTCATAGAAGCATTGTGTAGAAGCACCAACCAGTAGTTTACATGACATTATCCGGGACCCAAACTGATATCCATAGAGGTGATACGATCTTCAGCACAAATTTGGGCCAGCATATAAAATAAAAAATCAAGAATGTTCCAAACGATCAAAAAAGGTGAAAATTGCATATCAATTACTATATAAATCAGTCATCATCAAATAGAAGATTGGATCTGATCTCTTTCAGAATTCTTAATGACAAAAGAATGACAACACTGATGTTTGACTTCAAATGAATGATTTGCTAACATGTGTGCCAGAGCTCAATGCATCATAGAGGACATACCATATTCTCCGAGTGTTTCAGGATCGATCATATAATTTGGGAAATATTTATCCTATACAAGCTTGAAACATGATTACTTAACCAGGCATGACACTTTCGACCAACATGCTTCATGCATAGAACAATGCGACACCAGAGAGCACTAGGACTAACACAATATGGTGGTAGTAATATTATTAGTTTTAGTTTTTAAGTCTCAAAGCAATCTTACCAACTATTAAAATCCTGCAATCGCGAGAGTTAATGCCTGATACCTCTCTTCAGTGGATGAGAGTGAATAATGGTTGTTTATTGCTACACCAAGAAGGAAATGCTGACCCCATGAGGAAGGCAATAGCCAAATCTGCATTTTTAAATCCAACCAATTCTAAATCGACACCTTCAAGATAAATAAATCATGGCAACCCTCAGTTTGAATATAAGATCTTCCTAATTGCAGTCAAGTGACCTTTGGCATGGATCATTCATCAACATTGCAAACTCTCATGAATTCTATTCAAGTAATGAAGCTCACTCCAATGTAGAACTACGCAATAATTCTTTCTTCAAAATATGAAAGAGCCCTACTCAAGCAACACAATATACAGGAACACTTGTATATGCAATCGTCCACACCAGCAATAGATCATGACGATGAATTCGTTATCGAAAAGCTAATACAGTGAAAAATCCATTATATGAACTAAAGAATGATGCAAATTGGCAGATTTTTGTAGTAACTTTCAGCTTTACCTATTAAACCTACAAATTTGCTAAAACAACAGTATTCACAGGCCTTTGGATATGGCATTATCTCAACCAAGCAACAGTAGCTCTGATCAAGAGTACTTCCATGAAGTGAAAAACTAATTTATGCATAGCTCGGTCATTATCTATATGGGAGACAACTATATATAACCAATTTATGTACATAACCAAGTGATTATCCCAGTAGCATTATTAACAGCAATAGGTGAACCAAGGCATCAAGTTCTACTAGGGCCTAGGCGCAAGGTGAGGCACACCTTACAGCTAAAAATAGATAATTTAATATAAACAAATAATTTAAGGTTCAACATAAGAAAGATCAAATATTAAACCCTTGAAACATAAATGAGCTATTCATTAATAATTTACAAATTCATAAATGAGGCATGAGTTATCCACAAATTACAGTTTAGTTATTACAAGCATTTACAATTTACAGGAACGAAGAAGAAGAAAAAAAGCAGAGAACCAAGAAAAAGAAAAAAGATGAGGAACTCATTTACAGAAGTAGAGAAGAAAAATAGAGTTAAAAATCAGGAAAAAAGGAACAGGTGTAAATCATTAAAAGCAGAACTCTGCAGGAAAAAAAAAACCAGAGGCATGAAATCATTGCAACAGGGAGTGAAAAAAAAGAAAAGAAGCAACCCAATAGAAGAGGGAGGGAGGGAGGGATAGAGAGAGGTGTGAAATAAGAAAAAGAACCACAACCCAGCTGAGAGGAGAAAAAAAGGAACCTAGAAGGCGTGGACTAAGTTACATGGACTCAGGTACCAGTACCAAGTGTGAGTGTGTATCCAAACATTCATTAGACCTTCATAAACCTAAATATTAAGATATTGGGATATGCATCTAAAAGTTGAGTATGAGTACATAGACATATCCTGAACACTTACATATATTACATATTGTATAATATTCTTAGATAAGATGATATAAATTACTTAGAATGTACTTAAAATTAAATAGAATTTAGAAACTTTCTATCTCTCATCTATGTGACAGACAAGAAATATTATTTTACTAGTAAATGTAATATTCTTCTTCAAACATCATAGAAAATTCGAGGATTCAAGTGTCTAAATTAAATATGGGTGTCGGACACATATCCCACACCCCTACCTTTGTCATATCCGGTGGACACACATATTATGGGGAAATAGAAAGAGTTCAAGTAACACTGGGAGTGGAAGTAGAAGAAGAACATGGTCCATCAGATGAGCAAGACTCTGATAGCTGAATTGAAGTTCTTCAGCAGGGGAAAGTTGTTAACAGCGCTGTTGTTCAATGCCTAGGGCATTTTTACTGGGAAAACATGGCTCAAACACATGTCTGCATTTTATATTAAGCAGTTAAATTCCCTGTGGCTGAACACACAAAGACATCAGTTAAACCAAAATTTTAGTTAAGTGCACAATGTGATCGCCTTGTGCATGTGCCAAAGGCACGTGTCTCAGCCGTCTTGCATACATTGCCTAGCCTCAAGCTGTCCAATGCACTACAGCTGCACCCAGCCTTAAAACAACAATGGATTAACGTACTGCCCACTTATACATAAGGGGCCAACAAGCAATGCACATCTCTCTCTCATAAAAAATTGACATAAAATTCTCATCCGTGCTAACCAAATCTGAACTTAGGTTCAAATAGACATCAGTACGTGTTACTAGAGAAGTTCTTTGATAACAACATGGGATAATATGGTGCGGTAAAAGAGTTGACATAATTATAGCACAGATGAAGACCTTTTACAAATGCTATAACAATAAGAGAGAAGAAAAGAACATATCAGTTACAAAATAACATACTTCAAAATTAAACCTATCGATGCTATTCTTTGTTCAAATCTAATTACATATGGTCTCAAACTCAGAGTTGAATTAACTGCCAAGCCCAAAAAAAAAAAAAAGTTTCATGGTCCAGAACACCGATTTTATCCAAAGCAGACCTGAACAAACACTAATAAGAATACTCTGAAAATAAAGATGTCCTAACAAAATTCAGTTTCTAGTCTTTGAAGGATCTGGACTCAACAAAATAAAATTGTAACAATCAAAAGCAAGGAAAAACAATATCCATTGCGATTTTTTTCAAAAGAAAGGTGAAAGTTCAAACAAACCTGATTCATAACTTCATTTATCATTTCTCTTGCCATCTCAATCTGCTTCTTATCACCAGCCACGCGCACTGTCCTTTCTTTAGATTGGTCCCCATCAGGAAGATGTTGTGGTATCAACTAAACAAAATTACATTGTCAGTATTTGTGAAATGGTATCACTTTTATGAAGGACAGTCATCACCTCTGTTGAGAATTCTTGTACTTATTTTCACATACATCTCAAAGCAGGGCCATATGATATCAAGTACCTGAATGCGTGCCCCTGATCTCGTCTGCAGATTTTTAATAGTCTCCCCACCTTTACCTATGATTACACCAACCTGGGACAAAAGAAAGTTCAAATATGGAATGGTCAGAAAGAAGGAAGCAATAGAGGGAGGCAATGAGGCAGAGAGGGTGAAAACCAACTAAGATGAAGACCAAAGTCACCTTCTCATTTGGAACTTGTATGAGAACTTGTTCCACAGTGCCAGCAGCCTGTACCATACCGAAACCCCTAGCCACAAGGGAGGGGGAACCCCCCGCATCAGCCTACAAAAAATAAACGTAGCTTTATCAAAGAAGAAACAAACCGTAACACCAAAAGAACAAAGCAAATGCAGGTCAACCATAAACAAAATGTGGGGGCAATTAAGAAGAGAGTAGATGAAAGAAAAAGACATCAAGTCTAGAAGCATAAGACCTCAGCTATAACATCCTTTATCAGTTTCTCAGCCATGTTTATATTTTCCGAAGTTCCTATTAGCTCCACAGGCCGGGTGGCAGAATATGGATCAGCATCAGCATCCCTTGTGATCTGAATCTTGGCACCTGAATTGATTTGTAGAAACCGTATAGTATCACCAGCCTTGCCAATGAGAACTCCAACCTGCACCAAAATTGGCAATCTTTTAGAAAACACCATATATCAAAGAAAATTGGAGCTAGTTAATTCCACGGATCAGCACAGACTAAAAATGTTGATGAGCTGTATGGTGAAACATAAGAAAAGGTTGCAAAACATCCCATTTCCCCTTATCTAGTAGCCAGCTCATGTACAAGTTAATAAATATTTTTCTCCATTAAAGTGTTTCTCAATTTATTTTATCTTCTAAAACTCTTAAATATTTTCAGCAGTAAACAACAAAACTATGTCCATTTTATCTTATAACTAGCATTCTATTAGTAGCCAATGTGAACTCAACTAGATCAAATTTCACCTCAAGCCATGGATAGATAAATCAACTACCCTGATCCCATTGTGCCACACATCCCTGGTTAAATAAAACATGCATCCTAGTAAAACTCAAAATTCAGATGATGATGGAGCAGGACAGCCTAGATTTTTATGGATTCAAAACCCAAATTACAAAGGAAAGCTATGTGTGAAAATGTTATAGAAGTCATGTTTCTGTGGAATTGTTGTACTTACGGAAGGCTACGAAGAAACTAAAACACTACTAAAAAGACAATAAAAGAGAAGAGCAAAAGAGAAGAGCGAAAGAGAAGAGAAAGAGAAGAGGAGGTGAAAGATGAGACCTCAAAAGGAGTAAAAAGTACCCCATGGAAGATCCATCTGGGGTCCACACTAAAATCAAGTTCTAGATCCCCTCTTGAATCATGAAACTAACTCATTCATCAAAAGTCAGTTTTTTGCCATTTATAGACCATATTTTGTCTTTGCCACACCCTCATCTAAACTTCATAAGCAATTTACCATCATTTTCACAATTAACCCTTTCATCTAATAATCCAATTAACAAGAACCCAAGTTGGGGAGAGGGGTGTTTGAACTCCCTTGAAACCCCATTTCTTACTAACAAGAAAACAAAAGGTAACATCATAATTTTCAATTCACCTTATTATTAGGGATTTCCATTTTCCGTGACAGAGTTTGAGTCTCAGATGCAGGTTGCTGTTCTGCAGAAGGAACATCCTCCTGTTGAGGAACTTCTGCGGGGGGCTCCTGAAGCTGTTCACCTCCAGATGCAGGTTGATGTTCCCCTCCAGATGGCTTTTGCTGAGCACTTTCCAGCTGAGGATCATCAACAAAGGGTTGCTGAATGTCTGCTGTCTGGTGAATATCAGTAGATGGTTGTTCTTCATTCAGCGTCTCCAGAGCTTCCTCAGCCAGTGGCTGAGCTTCATCTGACTTAGCATCAATATCCACAGATGGCTGTTCGTCATCCTGCGTCACAGGCTCATCCACCTCCTTTTGAAATCCGTTCTCAGCCACTACACCCCAAATGGAAAATGAAGGCTTACCACAAAATTTACAATTCAATCAAGAAACTCAGTGTTCTGGATCCAGAAGCGACATAAAGAAGCACACACAACCTCACATGCATATACCGACACCCACACCCCAAGGGCGGATGTATGAAGGGCACCGGGAGGTCATGTCCCCCTCCCTTAATCTTTAATTTTAATTTTATCTTTATAATGCAACTTATGGCATACACAAGATGTGCTCCCTCAACGGCTAAAATTAAGAATATTGATTTGATGAGGTGAAATTAGGAATTTTGATTTGTATTGATTTGTGCTAAAATAGGAGATTTTGATTTGTTGTGGTTTATGCTAAAATTAGGGATTTTGATTTATTATTTTTAAACAGTCATAGAGAAATACTTTTAAAGTAAAGCAGAGTTGGAATTATCTCTTCCTCAAATAGAAGGCGATAATTTTTCTTCCTCAAAACAAAATTGCATAGAAATCAACTTGGCGATAATTCTTCGTCCGCAACTATTTCATGTCAAGACACACACGCGCATGAAAAGCCAAGAAAGAGATAGCATAAGTTTCACAATGCCAAAACCCTAACCATGCATCGGACCAAATCTGCCACAGAGAAACGGAAACAATACCTAATTCGTCGGGATCCTTCTCCAAACGAGGTCGTTTCGATGTGGAATCATCAGCAAGAACTACCTCCGCCTCGATACCTTTCACGATCGAGTCCGATTCGTTCGCGTTGGAGTTCAAGCTGGCCATCGTCGGAGGCTCGGGCTCCAAATCTTCATGTTTCCGCTTGTTGTCTGTCGGCGAAGAGCTATCCTCCGCCTCCGCCACAGCCACCGCCGCAACTTCTTCCTCCGCCATGAGAGATGAGGCTATGGTAGTCTAGGGTTTCAAGTTTACAGGAGGGTTTTGTGTCGTCCACAGAAAGACCAGAGTATATTGCTCTAGCAACCGGGTGCCCAGCGCATATTTTGTTCCGGCCAAACCGACCAAATCGAATTGATTGGTTCCACATTTTTTAATTTTTTTTTTTTTTTTTTATAAATATGGATGCGTGATGATGAAGGGATGATTATAAATTTATTTTTTTTCAATTGGTTTAGTTTTGAATTGGTGATAGATTTGAGATTTTTTTCACTACAATCGAATGGTTAAATCACGAGCACTTCTAATAATTTGTAAAATTTTATATTTTTAATTTGTTACTGCAAAAATTTATACTTTTGACGATCAAATTTAGCGACTAAAAGTATTTTAGTCGCCAAAAATATCACATTTGGCGATTAAAAAATTTATTAGTGGGCGTTGGTTTATGATTTAACTAAAATTTTTTAGTCGACAAATATTAATTATTGGCGACTAAATTTAGTTTTAGTCGACAAAAAGTTCACTTTTGACAACTAAAAATCGTATTAGTTGCCGTAAGTCTATACTTCAGGCTACTAAATTTTTTTAGTCGTCATATATAATGTTTTGCCAACAAAATAAATTTTAGTCACCAAATAATAAGCATATTCTTATGGTAACTCTTTGGCGACCAAAAAAATTAGTCAGCATTTGTTAACTTTTACCGTCTATAATTATATTTAGTCGCCAAAAATACTTTGGGTGACTAAAAAGTCAGTCGCCGTTAATTTATCTTCGGCTACAAAATAGAATAGTCGGGATATATATTGCATTTGCCGACAAAATATTGATTTAGTTGTTAAAAATGGTAAAAGTTTAGGGAGGGAAACAATTTATTGTTGCCCGCGTTTCCTCTGTTAGACAAAACGATATTCAAACTCTCTCACACCTAGACTGTCTCACCACCAAACCTCACACAAAATCACTTCACCACAGCCCACTGTGCGGAGGACGTCGGCACGGCCACTACCACCATCGAAAATCACCACCGCCACAGACGCAGATCGCAGGTGCTCTCTTTCACTCTCTTTAGTTCGCTCTCTAGCTCTCCATCTGTCTGTGTGTGTGTGTGTCTCTCTCTCGCTCTCGCTCTCGCTCTCTCGCTCGCAGCCTCTCTCTGTTTCTGTGTATGTCTCTCTCTCTCTCTCTCTCTCCCATCCTCTGTTTCCCCTTTTTTTGAAACCCAGATTTGTTGATTTAGGGTTTTACTCTCAACGTCTTAGGCAAATGTCTAACTTTGGCGGTTAATTAGCTGCACATTTTATGGATTCCTCATAAGCTTGCATGTTGAAACAAGAAAATTTTTTGCAGAAATACTCATTTCCCGGATGACTATACTGTTAGCAATACTTGTGCTGATTGATATACAAAATAGAGCATGTTAGTCTTTATACAACAGTGCAGCTACACTACAAACAATGTTTTCACAAACAATTTATTTCTTAGATTGCTTGCTCATGAGTGTATTGTTTGATTCACTTTTTTGTTTGATTCTTTTGTATTTTTACTTGTGAAATACTCTTTTTTTGGAACCCCTTTTAGATTGTTAATCATTTCTTTTGTTGAATTTCAGCTTGAATTGAACCTCAGAGATAATTTCTTGATCTCGGTTATGCGATTGTTGGTGAAAACAAAGTTGTTGTACCCTACAATTTAAATATTAAAATAAAAAAAAAACCCCAAGAAAATAAGGGACCCTAATTTGGTCATTCGTTTTAAGAGGCCACTGAATTTTATCTTCTATGTATTAGTGTGTGTTAGTAAATTTGTGTACATAAATTAATTCTCATATTTGTTTACAGATTTGATGACAAGGATTTATAATTGTACAATTTGAATCAGAGGTATTACTATTTAATTTTATGTGTAGGGATCTCAATGGACTTTCCTTAGCAGGGGAACTTGCCCCAGACCTTTAAAAGCTTTCTCACCTAAGATCTCTATAGGTATTATTTGGTTTCTATGGCTTTGCATTCACAATTGGGTGTTTTTGGGTAGTTTGACGATTGAGGAAAATTGATTAGCAATTTTGGGCAGTTTGATGAATCATTTAACAATTATTAAATATAACATTAGATGGCTTGTGTTAGCAGCACTTGAACAAGTTGAAAAAGTGAGCTTTACGTGCATTTAATGAGTGACAAAAGTGTAAATTCTTGTAGTGGTTGTTCATTTGGTTAATATATGTTTTTCCCTTCTATTTAATCTTTCTGGGACCAAGATTAGAATTCAATTCATACTTCCTAGTTTAATCTAAGTTATAAACACCAACAGTGTGGCAGCAGAAATTTTCATACTCGAGCTGCACAAATTGCTTGAGTTTTAGGGATCAAATCCCATTTGAGACCTTTCCAATTCCATTCAGCTTCTGGGTTATAGGTTGTTGCAACATGTTTGGCTCAATTATTAGCGAATGGATGAGAATCCAAATTCCCCCAAACAATAAGAGAAGAAAAAAAAATCTCCTATGGCATGTGTTAGTTTTGTTTCTTAGCTAGTTGAATGATTGACTTTGGATCATTTCAATTGAATTTGTGTTCTCACATAGTCTGTTTACTATATATACTTAGTTGTTGTTCTTTTTCTATTCAAGTGTGAATCTTAACTCTCCGTGCTTAGAATATAAACAAATCTAAATTCATTTTCATTTTCCTATGACTAGTTATATTTTGATATTTTAAAGGGCGCAAATACTACTGCCCTAAAACTCTGCAAGAATTTGGAACAACATGGCATACGTGTGATACCAGAGAGCTCATCCAGGTGTGTTTTATGCCAAAAACATTGTTTAAAATCCATTAGTTTTTTCTTCTTTTTTCTTAATAAAACATGGGATACTAGATAGGATTTTTTTGGATTTCCCCCCCTTCAACGGCATTATAAATCTTCCCATTATCTCAGAAGTTTTGGTAAGAAACATGTTATATGTGAGTCTGTACTTAATTTTTTTTTTTTTTGTTTTTCCTGCTTGTCAAATATTCATGTAAAATCTCATGGCTTTTAGTTTTATCATATGTTCAAAACTCAATAAAGTGGTGATTTAAGTCAAACTGAGTCATTTTATCTCTGCTATTGAATTGGTAAACATTGTGGAATGCTTGGGTGCATATGCATAAAAATAAAATAAAAAAAAATAAAAAAACACTTTTGTCCAAATAAATTCAGGTTCTGTTTAGATTGAAGGATTTCAAATGAATGGATTTAATGTTGAATTATACATATATATATATATATATATAAAACACTCTTGCCCAAATATATGAGTTCATTATTCTTAACTTCATTGTTTTCTTAAACAGAGGAAAGGATAGTCAAAGTGAACTTGTTGGTTATTTTGAACTTGTTATGAAGGTATACGAGCTCTAAAATGTTCCACTAGTTTATTTACTACTTCCGATTTAGTTTTATCTAGTTCTCATTCCTTTTAGATTGCTTTTGTGTCTTTGAATCTTGATATTAATTAGATGTATCCACAAGGAAGGATGTCCTACCATTTTCGAGAGATGCGTGAAGGTGATTACCTAACTGTGAAGGGACCCAAGGTAAGTTTTCTTCCTCTTTTTGGCATAATGGTAATTGGAATATGGATTATTATGGCAATGTGAAACAAAAATGAGAACTTGATATAGACAGCACGTAATTAGCACACGGAGGTTGGGAGTTAGAGTGAAAAATACCTAAAACTTGATCGAAAAAGAGCGTTCATGGGGGGTCGAAAATGCAAAACAACCCCTGAACCATTCTATGGATGTCATGGGCAGTTTCCTCATGACATATAGGACCTGAGAGGATAGACGACATGTAATTAGCACACGTAGGTTGGGAGTTAGAGTGAAAAACGCCTAAAGGTTAGTTGAAAAAGAGCGTTCGGAGGGCGAAAATGCAAAAAACCCCCCGAACCACAATATGAACATCACAGGAAGATTCCTCATGAAACATAAGACCTGTGGGGACAGACGACATGTAATTAGCACACAAAGGTTGGGAGTTAGAGTCGAAAATGCCTTAAACTTAGTCGAAAAAGGGTGTTCAGGGGACGAAAATACAAAACAGCCCCAAACCACTCTATGGATGTAACGGGCAGCTTCCTCGTGACAAATAGGACCTGTGGAGATAAACAACATGTAATTAGTATACATAGGTTGAGAGTTAGAGTCGAAAACGCCTTAAACTTAGCCCAAAAAGAGTGTTCAGGAGTGAAAATACAACACAACTCCGAACCAGTCTATGGATGTCACATGAATTTGCAAATTAAACAAACAACTACTAGTAATGCAACACATAAAATAGGTAATGAAGAAATCCACGTCTAATTTTTCAATTGTAAAAACCAACATGACCGAGCGTTTGGAAATTCCTTTTCAGAATCCAACAAAGATGTCTGAATCCAATAATAGTGAATCGTGACTAAGCTAAGTTGAGGCTTGATTAGCTAGAAAGCAAGAAATAATTAGCTCTCTAGATCAACTTCACATGCATAGAGAATACTAGAAACACCACAAATGACTATCAACCAAATAAATGAGGATAAAATACACTTGCATCTGATTATGTAATGCTCAAACCTGTGAAGAAGATGAATAGTTTAATTCATTCACCATAACCTTTAATGTTTTTGCCTCAAACTATCAAGTTCTACATGCATTTATGGTACTAATGGGTGCAATTTTTTTTTTTTTGTAGATGGCTTTTGGCGTGAACTTGTGAATATTTCATTTTTGTGCATGGAGGACAATTTACACTTTTGTATATTCTCGCTATTTTGTAGTCCTTTACTTTTGTGTGGATTAGTATTAATCATACAGATAACTTTTGGCACGGTACAGATTACTTTTGACATCAAATGGATAATTATTGGTGTAGTATATAGATTACCTTTTGTCGTGTAATTTGTATCACGCCAAATGGCCTTTTGGCATGGTAGTGAATATATTGTGTACAGAGGACATGGTTTTCGTATGATTCTATGTTTTGTATAAAATTATTATTTTAGGTTGGAATATATATAGTTTGTATGGAATTTGACACTAAAAGTTTTTCTTTTTTGGATGGTTGGAAGTGAAAATGGATGCAGATTGTGGAATGG